CTGGCGGCGTGTTAAGTGTTTAACTGAAGAAGCAACACAACTTGCAACTAAGTAGGTTACAGACAAAGCAATCATGCAACAGCAGCAGCAGCAGCGGCAACAACAACAAGAAAATTGTCTGTTTCGCAGCCATGTTGAATTGTTTGCCGCCAACGCCCACATTTTGGTTGCCAGCTAAGCCCGGGGCGGCACTTGTCGCTGTTTTTGTTGCCTGCGTGCCTGTCAGACAGCCAGTGTTGTACAATGTTCTTTGAGAATGAGGTTAGAATTGATTTTTAGTTGAGTCAATTTCAGTGCATGATAGTGCAGGTTTTTCATCAACCACTTGGCATTTAACTGGGTTATAGGCAATTGTGCAAAAAGAACTCGAGTCGAAGGTAAAATGTGCTGCGAAGAGCTGACAAATGATAGAGGCTATGGGGCATAGACTAGAAAGCGAATAAGACTTTGGATTTGGAATGCGCTTTGCATGTTACATATACACTAAGCCATCTATAATCTATCATCTATCATCTATCATCTATCATCTATCATCTAGTCAATTATCAATTATCATCTATCATCTATCATCTATCATCTATCATCTATCATCTATCATCTATCATATATCATCTATCATCTATCATCTATCATCTATCATCTATCATCTATCATCTATCATCTATCATCTATCATCTATCATCTATCATCTATCATCTATCATCTATCATCTATCATCTATCATCTATCATCTATCATCTATCATCTATCATCTATCATCTATCATCTATCATCTATCATCTATCATCTATCATCTATCATCTATCATCTATCATCTATCATCTATCATCTATCATCTATCATCTATCATCTATCATCTATCATCTATCATCTATCATCTATCATCTATCATCTATCATCTATCATCTATCATCTATCATCTATCATCTATCATCTATCATCTATCATCTATCATCTATCATCTATCATCTATCATCTATCATCTATCATCTATCATCTATCCGAGGCAGCGAGCAGCGAGCAGCGAGCAGCGAGCAGCGAGCAGCGAGCAGCGAGCAGCGAGCAGCGAGCAGCGAGCAGCGAGCAGCGAGCAGCGAGCAGCGAGCAGCGAGCAGCGAGCAGCGAGCAGCGAGCAGCGAGCAGCGAGCAGCGAGCAGCGAGCAGCGAGCAGCGAGCAGCGAGCAGCGAGCAGCGAGCAGCGAGCAGCGAGCAGCGAGCAGCGAGCAGCGAGCAGCGAGCAGCGAGCAGCGAGCAGCGAGCAGCGAGCAGCGAGCAGCGAGCAGCGAGCAGCGAGCAGCGAGCAGCGAGCAGCGAGCAGCGAGCAGCGAGCAGCGAGCAGCGAGCAGCGAGCAGCGAGCAGCGAGCAGCGAGCAGCGAGCAGCGAGCAGCGAGCAGCGAGCAGCGAGCAGCGAGCAGCGAGCAGCGAGCAGCGAGCAGCGAGCAGCGAGCAGCGAGCAGCGAGCAGCGAGCAGCGAGCAGCGAGCAGCGAGCAGCGAGCAGCGAGCAGCGAGCAGCGAGCAGCGAGCAGCGAGCAGCGAGCAGCGAGCAGCGAGCAGCGAGCAGCGAGCAGCGAGCAGCGAGCAGCGAGCAGCGAGCAGCGAGCAGCGAGCAGCGAGCAGCGAGCAGCGAGCAGCGAGCAGCGAGCAGCGAGCAGCGAGCAGCGAGCAGCGAGCAGCGAGCAGCGAGCAGCGAGCAGCGAGCAGCGAGCAGCGAGCAGCGAGCAGCGAGCAGCGAGCAGCGAGCAGCGAGCAGCGAGCAGCGAGCAGCGAGCAGCGAGCAGCGAGCAGCGAGCAGCGAGCAGCGAGCAGCGAGCAGCGAGCAGCGAGCAGCGAGCAGCGAGCAGCGAGCAGCGAGCAGCGAGCAGCGAGCAGCGAGCAGCGAGCAGCGAGCAGCGAGCAGCGAGCAGCGAGCAGCGAGCAGCGAGCAGCGAGCAGCGAGCAGCGAGCAGCGAGCAGCGAGCAGCGAGCAGCGAGCAGCGAGCAGCGAGCAGCGAGCAGCGAGCAGCGAGCAGCGAGCAGCTATCATCTATCATCTATCATCTATCATCTATCATCTATCATCTATCATCTATCATCTATCATCTATCATCTATCATCTATCATCTATCATCTATCATCTATCATCTATCATCTATCATCTATCATCTATCATCTATCATCTATCATCTATCATCTATCATCTATCATCTATCATATATCATCTATCATCTATCATATTTTAAATATCTTATTTTCTAATTTTAATAATCAAAAAGTTCTTTCCAAAAATAAAACTGATTGATAATTTCTTATCCTTTCCTTGGCATAGATATATTTAAATATTCTCTTCCACTCTTACCACTGACCTTTTCAATCTGGTTTGACATTCGAGCGCACATCAATGTTTCAATAGTGTCAAGCGCTGCGACAGCATCACAAATTGAACTCCATTAAAAATTACTAAGTCCTGAGATATTGCTAAAAATAAAACAAAAAGAGGAAGGACGGCACGTGCCTTCAGCTGTGCGACAGCTCGAATTGAATGATGTAGCCGCCAGCGAGGGCGGAGCAAGAGCGTAAGAGGAGCTTAATCCCATATCAATAAATAGACAAATAGCACGTATGTTATAAATAGTTGCTAAAAAAACCCTTGCGCATTATCGTAAATCTCAGTTTATCAAGTAGTATTTGTTATAGCAAGCGGTGCTTGTGGTTGAACGTGTTAAGGCTAAATTTAACAAGTTAATAATAGAAAAATTCTTGATTTCTAGACCTTTTGGTACAGCAAACTAGTTTAAGAGACAATTATTTATATTTGACTTATTTTGAATCGATCTTTGCTAAACTTAGACTGTTTTTTCTAAAATCGATAAATATCGATCTTAATTTAAAATATTTTTATAAAGTGTGTAGACACAAGTTTCGTTAACAAACTGTCGTTTTATGTGCGAATCGATAAATGTCGATATTTAAATATTGAACTAATTTACGTTAATTAAGAGCCTCGATTAAATTAACGGCCTTTTTTTGTATAGGTACAAGTTTCGCATACAAATTTTCATTTTATATGCAAATCGATAAATATCTATATTTAAAAAAATGAGCTAATATATATAAGCAAAAATATAAAAGGTAAATGAAAAGGGTTTTTTTGTATTCAGCCCCTGAATTTAGAAATATAATAATAAATAATACAATTTCAGTGAAATTTTTACAAATCGATAAATATCGATATCTCATTGTCACATCTATAGAGCTTTTATAAAAATACAAATATGTACATGTATATGTCAAAAGAAGTGACATTCTACTGCACTTCAATCCACAACTTATCGATTTTTAACACTATTTCTATACGGTCATAAATATGTGTTGACAATCGAGTCAAAAGGCCTTGTACTGACCTATGAAACTTGGCAAACAACTAATATCTGTGCAGCATTATTATCTAATGCTTTTCTTATCTATTTAGTAAACGTTTTTATAATATTTAAAATAAACTTATCTAAGGCCTGAAATTTAAATAGATCAGAAATTTCGACCCGGCCTGTTTATTTATTTATTTATTTTTTTTGTTTCCACTGTCCATTGTCTTTTGCTTGGGCCATAAAATATTTATGACAATTTTGCATTCACATTGTCTCTGATGGCGTTTATACACGATATCAAATGATTAGTCATATTTGTCGACTACTTAAGCCCAAGGGAGCCTCGAGGGTTCGTCCACGCTCGTATAATTGTTATGCAATGTCTATCAAAAAGTAAATCAACTATATGAACAATCCAAATAACTAACTGACTAGTTGACTGTTCGACTAGCATGTGCTCTAGCTTAGACACATTATTTGATTCTATATTTAGGGCTGGCAGGGGCAATTTACTTGGCCATCTACCTGCCCATCAGATACGTGACTTTTTATTGTGCACGGCATTTAGAGAATGAGTCCAATCGATCGATACGCATTATTACAGGTTGAAAATTTGAAAGAATGAACGCAACTATAACTGTAATATTGATGGCACAATAATGAAAAGGATTATCAACTAGATTATCTCAACTATTATTTTTAACTATTTGATACCTATAGAAAGGGCAATTTTGTGTACTATTTTACACTTGTTACTTATAATATATTTTTTATGGTATATATAATTCACGAAAACACGAAAATCTATTCAATATTTGTAAAGAAATTTATAAGTGCTTTATAAAAATAATTAGATATTAATTTTGATAATTCCATATATATTTGTGATATTTTAAGCATATATAATATATACACTTTCGAAGCTCTATGGAATTGTATTTATTGTATATTTTTTTTTATAAATTTGACTCGATTTCTAAAAATATATCACACAAATATGAATATACTTATTAAGCTTACAATGCAAGCTACTGCAAGCTGTATTACATATTTAAGCTATATTTAACGTTCGTTATGCCCTTGAATGTCCCTCAAATAACATGTTATTATAAAACATAGGGGTACAATTATTTTTTACATCATATACGAGGCTGAGCCACGCGGCGTATGCGCAATGCGTGAAATTTGATTGATTTGCTGAGCGCTTTAATTAGCAATTAACTAGAGCACGAAAGCGAGCGCTAGGCTGTGGATATTATTAAAAAAATCCATATATAATATATATGTATATATGCATATTATATCCTCATAGAGAATTTATTTTATTACAAATTTATTTTTCTGAAATATATACAATTATAATAATGATAATATATTAATAAAAAACTAACAAAATGTAGAAATTATATTTGATTTCAATTTTAGAATGTAAACTTCCATATGAAAATTATATAAGAAAAAGAAATATGTATTAAAAAACGAGAATGTTTTTAATTTTTAATTAAACTGATAATTAGATTTTAATTGTCAAAAATTATATAAGTTCCTTCTAGTGCATAAATAAAAATTTATATAAGAAATTATTTCTTTATATTTGTTAAAAATTTTTTACCATATTGCATAATATTATTTTTATAATTTTTTTTTAACTTACCCCAACTGGAACCGGTGCGTCCGAGGCATTGGCTAGTTTCACTGTTCCATATGAATTTTTTGAAACCCTCCCATTTGCCCATCTTTGGCGGTGGCGCATAGTATTCACCAATCTTCTTGTCGGCCATTATTGATGTTTTTTTTTTGGTTTGATTTGGTTTGATTTTTGGTTTGGTTTTCGGTTTAGCTTGTTGTTGGCTTTAAGTACGGTTTACGATACGCTTGCACCAGGTCTAAGGAGGGTGTCTGTCTGTTTGTATTAGGCTAGCGTTAAACTATTGGTTTTATTTGGTTTTGTTATTCTTAATGTTTAAGTTAAACGTTATGAATATTATTTAAATATTAATTATTTATGTTATATTTGGTTTTTGTTTTATTTTTGGTTTTTTGGTATATTTGTCTTAATCAACTGCGTTGGTACAACATTTTTAAATGGGGTTTTTTTCTGAATGTTCGTAGCAGTATTGTGTTAAGATTTGCGCTAAATTTATTTGGTTACTGAAATTAGAAATAAATTTGTGAGTACATGTGAACAATTTTTCTCTTTTTTATGCCACCTGTTGGGTGGAGAAGACCAGGTAAGACTTTTTTAAATTAATATATATATAAATATATTTATATATATTATATATATTAAATATATATGGGCTTCTTTTATTCTCAAGCAATTTCCTACAGATTGTATGTATCTATAACTCTCTACTTTATTCGAAACTGTATTAAGATTATTATTAGATTTTATTGAATTTTTTATATTTTTTTGTTCAAATACAAATTAATTGTTTAATGAAAATTATGAACATTTTGCTCTTCATCGACCGCTTATATAAACATTAAAAACTCATTTGGCCTTTGTCAAAACTGAGTAAAAAGAAACGAATCAGTCTTTGTCCGCTTTGACAGTTTTTTCTTTCTTTTTGTATGTGTGTGTCACAAGGACACGCTTAGAAAACTGTTCTAAAGTACACTTTGCCGTTGATTTTGGCAGCTGTTAAATAGTTTTTTGCACTCGCTATTAATTTTGGTGAATTTTGCATAAATTTAGTTTAATTAATTGTTGCTAATTCGATCAACTCTTTGTCATTTACGTGAAAACAAATTGCAGTCGCCTGCCGATTTTAGCCACACACTCTGCCAACTGTTATGTAATCTCGAGCGAGGAGCGTTGGAAAAAAGCATCCAAAGCTTGGCGCAAGTCAATCAGCGTATGCGTACTGCGAGAGAGCAAGCACAGGCAGAATGCAGAGCGAATTCGAGATGGAGAGCGCAAGCATGTGTGAGCTGCAAAAAGAGAGAGAGAAAGAGAGAGCAAAGAGTGAGCCTGGAACTTGCGTTGGAAGTTTTTTTCCTTTTCTATTTTTTTCCTTTTTTTGGGTGCAGAACAGTAAAACAGATTTTGGCCATGCCATAAAAATTGACAGCTGGGCGCCAGCTTAATGACAGTTAGAGCAGCTCTCGGGAATGCTCAAGCAGCCCGTTACAGTTATGCGGGAATCGTCAGTTAGGTTAGCTATGACCATGCTAAGCGGCTTAGCTGCTGCAGCTTTAAACACACCACTGTACACGCACACACACAGGCATACACATACACAAGCTGGCAAAGTTATGTAAATTGTATGTTAATTTTGCAATATGATATGCGCTACTCCTTTGTTGTTGGTGCAGCTAAAAATAATGTTTCACTAACACAATGAAGCTGCTCTCTCACGCATACGCGTAGCTTGACTTACTTTCTGAATGCTGCCGCCGGCGACGTCGCTGCCACATTGCGCAACGCGCGTCCGTGGCGAAGGCGAAAAAGAAACGGCCTCGGTTCTAGCTATGGCTTGTATAGCTATAGCTATAAATGCCTGTGGCTATGTCTGTAACTGGGCGAGTCTTCTAGCTGTGGGGCAGGAGGCGCACAAATGTAGGCAATGCTCAGTTTTTTTCCTGCTATTTAATGAGTATTTAATGCAATTCTGAAGTTTTCTTTCGTGTTTTATTATGTGGCCACAAGCGTATGTGCACTGTAGCTGGGATAGCAAAGTTTATATAAGCATATTGATTACACAAGCTATACATACAAGTGCACTACATTTTCACTAGCCGAAACAAGCTAAAAACTAGTGGCAAAATTATGAAGATCTTTTGACATTATTTTCTAGCTATTTTTTGTTAGTTATGTATTGGAATTAGACTCAGACGTTCTGTTCTTTCAAAACCTGGGAAATTGCTTGATTTCAGTTTTTTATGATTAATTTATAAATTATATTTTATTATAATGATTTTAGCTATTGTTTATGTTCGTTTTATTTTTAATAGTTTATGTTAATTTCATTTTTAATATACAGCAGCAAGAAAAAAAATCGAATTTCGGTATGTATATAAGTTCTACAAGGATATCATGTTTTTTTTTGCTGCTGCTGTCACAGTGTCCTCGTCGCGATGCTATTGCCGACGCTGTTCATATAATCACTCGAAAAATTGTTTTTTTTTTGTTTTGCATAATTTTTTATTTATTTTATTATTGAGGTCGTGGAACGATTTGTTTTTTTTTTTGAAATTCTGGCACTTTTGCATCATCACCTCGAGAATTAAACTTCTTTTATTTGCTTTTTTATGTAACCAACGTTTTGTGCAAATACATGAAAATTTGTTGTATTTTCCGCAGCGGCGCACCAACAACAACACACATACAGATGGATTTTCTTGAACGCTGCTTTTCAGCCTCCTCTTCTTCTTCTCTACGCAGACATGCACATAACTCTCTTTATATATATATGTGCATATACATATATATATTTTTAAATATATATATATCTATGTGCCGTTAATCCGCCAGCGAGTGCGAGTAGCAACCGTCCACAGTTAAAACGCCAATGATAGTGCCAGTCGAGCGTTGAGTCCACCAGCGCCGCGATTGCTGCAGCTGTGAGCGAAACGTTCGGCTTTTGTTCGGCTACGCTTCGGCTGTCGTGCTCGTCGTGTTCGCACATCTCTGTCACATACGCACACACATATGCAGGGCTGGGGCGGTGGGCAAACAATTGCGCATGGAAATCACAATCAGAGCTTATTTCTATACTTTTTTCGGTGCTTCTTTTACCGCCTAGCAGCTTTTTTTGTGCTCAGCTGGGTGCCGTCGCTGTCGTTGTTTGTCGCCGCCACTGGAACGGCAGACTTGCTTGCTAGCTGGACTTTTGGCTTGTGGGTGGCGCCATTGCGGTCGGCACTGAGTGCCGGTGGTGAGCACTGGAGAGCAACAAACAGTTGGGCTGCAAGCTTTCAAGGTTTCAGGCGTTCCTGCTGCTGTTGCGGCGGCGGCTGCGGCTGCCACTGCTGCTGCTGTTAGTATTTGCAATTGTGTTCAGTGGCTCTCAAGCTGGGCGCGTGAGCTGCATGTCAACCAATTGCTGTAAACTGTAGGTTCGGTTATCATTGAAATTTCAGAGTCAAGCGTTCTTATCACAATTTCTGTCAATAGTATTTTGTAGAATATAAACAAAAACATTATAATCAAAAATAGAAATAAGCATACATATATATACATTTATTTAAACGAGGGTAACCTAGACAATTTTTAAAATTAATATTTTTTGTCTATCTGCTATTTGCAACGATCTTTGGAAATATCATAAGCTACCCTCGTATAAATACATTCCCCTTTAAGTATTCTTCGTTTTTAATTTACTTGTTAAGCTTATAAAAAGCTCTAACGAAAAAAAAGCCGAGTGCTTTTTCTAGACCTACATTTCGCTAGCACTTCACGCTTACAGTTAACTTAGCATAGATTTCAATTCGCCGAGCAATGCAAACGCTACAAGCTGGGGTAAAATGCTGCCAATTCCAAGGCGAATTGAGCCGCAGCCATTTCCCGTCAATTTGCCGCAAGCTTGCGCAGTAAAAGCGCAGCCAAAAAAGAGAGCGTGCGAGTGAGCGAGATAGAAATTGGACGATTCCAGTAAAATTTAGTAATATAATATTTATTGATTACTTCTGCTGCCAAAGTTTTCCACCAAAGAGTTCTACTCCCAACTGGCCCAAGCAGAAGCCGGAATATTTGCAAATTACATAAACCGAAAAAAAAAATCAACAAACAAAAAAAATTATTGCCCTCCTCACATCCGAGTTGTTTTCTAAAATGGAGGGTGCAATGGGGGATGCTTTTGGTCTTTTGATTATTCGTATATTATTTCGTCCACATCCAATTACGTCATATCTCAGCTGTTCTGAATACGCGACGCTTGTTATACAATCGACTACGGCTCTTTCAGCTCTCTGGCCCATCCGCCCCACATCTCACACACCCACAAAGACACACTTCATCCGCGCTCCCTCTCCTCCTTTGGTTATTTTGGACTTTTAATGCTTACCTGTTTATATGGCTGACATTTATTTAAGCTCTTGCTTACTGCTAGTTTTTCCTTGTCTGTATGGCTGTGTGTGTGTACTGCGGTTTATTTAGCTCTTGCTTAAGCTCCAGGTAACTGTTAGTTTTCTGTTTATTGCGGTTAATTTTCTTCTTGCGGTATCCTATAACAGTGTCACACACACACACTCACTTTATTACTTGGCTTTTATTTATATACACATTCGCTATAACTATTTGGGGGTCCAGTTTGCTGTATGCTTGTGAATAACGGTTATTGCCATACTCCTGTTTGCCAGAAGCTTTGATTGCGCCTTTACTGATAACTACCAGAGATAAAGATAGAGATAGAGATAGAGATAGAGATAGAGATAGAGATAGAGATAGAGATAGAGATAGAGATAGAGATAGAGATAGAATAGAGATAGAGATAGAGATAGAGATAGAGATAGAGATCGAGATAGAGATAGAGATTAGAGATAAGATAGAGATAGAGATAGAGATAGGAGATGAGATAGAGATAGAGATAGAGATAGAGATAGAGATAGAGATAGAGATAGAGATAGAGATAGAGATAGAGATAGAGATAGAGATAGAGATAGAGATAGAGATAGAGATAGAGATAGAGATAGAGATAGAGATAGAGATAGAGATAGAGATAGAGATAGAGATAGAGATAGAGATAGAGATAGAGATAGAGATAGAGATAGAGATAGAGATAGAGATAGAGATAGAGATAGAGATAGAGATAGAGATAGAGATAGAGATAGAGATAGAGATAGAGATAGAGATAGAGATAGAGATAGAGATAGAGATAGAGATAGAGATAGAGATAGAGATAGAGATAGAGATAGAGATAGAGATAGAGATAGAGATAGAGATAGAGATAGAGATAGAGATAGAGATAGAGATAGAGATAGAGATAGAGATAGAGATAGAGATAGAGATAGAGATAGAGATAGAGATAGAGATAGAGATAGAGATAGAGATAGAGATAGAGATAGAGATAGAGATAGAGATAGAGATAGAGATAGAGATAGAGATAGAGATAGAGATAGAGATAGAGATAGAGATAGAGATAGAGATAGAGATAGAGATAGAGATAGAGATAGAGATAGAGATAGAGATAGAGATAGAGATAGAGATAGAGATAGAGATAGAGATAGAGATAGAGATAGAGATAGAGATAGAGATAGAGATAGAGATAGAGATAGAGATAGAGATAGAGATAGAGATAGAGATAGAGATAGAGATAGAGATAGAGATAGAGATAGAGATAGAGATAGAGATAGAGATAGAGATAGAGATAGAGATAGAGATAGAGATAGAGATAGAGATAGAGATAGAGATAGAGATAGAGATAGAGATAGAGATAGAGATAGAGATAGAGATAGAGATAGAGATAGAGATAGAGATAGAGATAGAGATAGAGATAGAGATAGAGATAGAGATAGAGATAGAGATAGAGATAGAGATAGAGATAGAGATAGAGATAGAGATAGAGATAGAGATAGAGATAGAGATAGAGATAGAGATAGAGCTCGCGCTCGCGCTCGCGCTCGCGCTCGCGCTCGCGCTCGCGCTCGCGCTCGCGCTCGCGCTCGCGCTCGCGCTCGCGCTCGCGCTCGCGCTCGCGCTCGCGCTCGCGCTCGCGCTCGCGCTCGCGCTCGCGCTCGCGCTCGCGCTCGCGCTCGCGCTCGCGCTCGCGCTCGCGCTCGCGCTCGCGCTCGCGCTCGCGCTCGCGCTCGCGCTCGCGCTCGCGCTCGCGCTCGCCGCCGCTCGCGCTCGCGCTCGCCTCGCGCTCGCGCTCGCGCTCGCGCTCGCGCTCGCGCTCGCGCTCGCCTCGCGCTCGCGCTCGCGCTCGCGCTCGCGCTCGCGCTCGCGCTCGCGCTCGCGCTCGCGCTCGCGCTCGCGCTCGCGCTCGCGCTCGCGCTCGCGCTCGCGCTCGCGCTCGCGCTCGCGCTCGCGCTCGCGCTCGCGCTCGCGCTCGCGCTCGCGCTCGCGCTCGCGCTCGCGCTCGCGCTCGCGCCGCGCTCGCGCTCGCGGCTACGCGCTAGCGCTCGGCGTCGCGCTCGCGCTCGCGCTCGCGCTCGCGCTCCGCGCGCTCGCGCTCGCGCTCGCGCTAGCGCTCGCGCTCGCGCTCGCGCTCGCGCTCGCGCTCGCGCTCCGCTCGCGCTCGCGCTCGCGCTCGCGCTCGCGATCGCGCTCGCGCTCGCGCTCGCGCTCCGCTCGCGCTCGCTCGCGCTAGCGCTCGCGCTCGCGCTCCGCTCGCGCTCGCGCTCGCGCGCCATCGCGCTCGCGCTCGCGCTAGCGCTCGCGCTCGCGCTCGCGCTCGCGCTCGCGCTCGCGCTCGCGCTCGCGCTCTCGCTCGCGCTCCGCGCTCGCGCTCGCGCTCGCGCCTCGCGCTCGCGCTCGCGCTCGCGCTACGCGCTCGCGCTCGCGCTCGCGCATCGCGCTCGCGCTCGCGCTCGCGCTCTCGCTCGCGCTCGCGCTCGCGCTCGCGTCGCGCTCGCGCTCGCGCTCGCGCTCGCGCTCGCTCTCGCGCTCGCGCTCGCGCTCGCGCTCGCGCTCGCGCTCGCGCTCGCGCTCGCGCTCGCGCTCGCGCTCGCGCTCGCGCTCGCGCTCGCGCTCGCGCTCGCGCTCGCGCTCGCGCTCGCGCTCGCGCTCGCGCTCGCGCTCGCGCTCGCGCTCGCGCTCGCGCTCGCGCTCGCGCTCGCGCTCGCGCTCGCGCTCGCGCTCGCGCTCGCGCTCGCGCTCGCGCTCGCGCTCCTCGCGCTCGCGCTCGCGCTCGCGCTCGCGCTCGCGCTCGCGCTCGCGCTCGCGCTCGCGCTCGCGCTCGCGCTCGCGCTCGCGCTCGCGCTCGCGCTCGCGCTCGCGCTCGCGCTCGCGCTCGCGCTCGCGCTCGCGCTCGCGCTCGCGCTCGCGCTCGCGCTCGCGCTCGCGCTCGCGCTCGCGCTCGCGCTCGCGCTCGCGCTCGCGCTCGCGCTCGCGCTCGCGCTCGCGCTCGCGCTCGCGCTCGCGCTCGCGCTCGCGCTCGCGCTCGCGCTCGCGCTCGCGCTCGCGCTCGCGCTCGCGCTCGCGCTCGCGCTCGCGCTCGCGCTCGCGCTCGCGCTCGCGCTCGCGCTCGCGCTCGCGCTCGCGCTCGCGCTCGCGCTCGCGCTCGCGCTCGCGCTCGCGCTCGCGCTCGCGCTCGCGCTCGCGCTCGCGCTCGCGCTCGCGCTCGCGCTCGCGCTCGCGCTCAGCGCTCGCGCTCGCGCTCGCGCTCGCGCTCGCGCTCGCGACTCGCGCTCGCGCTCGCGCTCGCGCTCGCGCTCGCGCTACGCGCTCGCGCTCGCGCTCGCGCTCGCGCTCCGCTCGCGCTCGCGCTCGCGCTCGCGCTCGCGCTCGCGCTCGCGCTCGCGCTCGCGCTCGCGCTCGCGCTCGCGCTCGCGCTCGCCGCTCGCGCTCGCGCTCGCGCTCGCGCTCGCGCTCGCGCTCGCGCTCGCGCTCGCGCTCGCGCTCGCGCTCGCGCCTCGCGTCGCGCTAGGCTCGGATCGCTCCGGCATCGCGATACGCGCTCGCGCGCGCGATCGCGCTCGCGCTCGCGATCGGCTCTGGCATCAGCGCTCGCGCTCCGCTACGCGCATCGCGCTCGCGCTGTGCCTCGCGCTCGCGCTGGCTCGCGCTCGGCTGCGTCGGATCGCGCTCGCGCTCGCGCTCGCGTCGAGCATCGCTCGCGCTCGCGTCGCTCGCGCCGCGCTCGCGCTCCGCGCTCGCGATCGCGCTGCGCTCGCGCTTGCGCTCGAGTCGCTCGCGCTCCGCGCCGCGCTCGAGCTCGCGCTAGCGACTCGACGCTCGCGCTCGGATCAGCTACACACACACACACACACACACCCTCACACACATGTGTGTTCACTTTAATAGAACAAGGCACATGGATTAACAGCTAATGCCATTACATGCTGTTACATAGCAAACAGGAAATATATAGTATGAGACAGAATATGTAGGAGAAAGCAGAGCGAGTAAGCAAGAGAGAGAGAGAGAGTGAGAGGAAGTCTAACGAAATGTTGCAAAATGTCGCTCAACGCACAAATGCATTTATTACGTATACGCCGCATAGTCGCGGTGCGCTTCATATGTTCAGCTAAAGCGAATCGCTTGCATACAAGTGTCTAAATTTAACAAAAAAATTTGCAAATCTAAATGCTGCAACCCATAAAACAGTAATCAAAATTGCAGTCACTTTTTTGACCCACATTGGCTGTCAAAAGTTTGCGTCTGAAATGTTGACAATAGCTGAACAAGAGAGCGAATCGCTGCAATCGCTCAAGGGAATCGTTGCATATTTCTAGGCGAGCGCCAATTGCGAATGCAAAAGTCGTTGGGGGTGGGTTGAGGTAAGCCTTTGCCATTCTTTTTGACAAATGGAAATTCTATGGAAATATTGTTTAGACTTTACTGATTGCGACGTCGACTAAGACACTATGCAAATTTTTGTTTTGATAGAGAATCAAGCTGAGAGGGCAAGTTGTATTGGCTATGAGCTTATGGATTGGAATATGGCTTATTTTATAGACTGTTATTTGTACCCAATGGATTCTACCACACCTCTCTCTGTCTGTTACATGCATTTTCAATATATAAACGCTGTTCAAGCTGTTCAAACTAAATGCTTTGTAAATGGTCTCGTCTTCAGGGATTACAAAAGTTTAAATGTTTGACTTCTAGGCACATTTGATGCCAAACGCTGTGGTCGCCTCAATTAAATTTTTATTGAAGAAAATTTAATTCATATTATCGCATTAGAGATTATCAGATAATGAATGAAACATTCGGATATGAGAATTTACATTCAGCTTACTTGTAGTGTCGAGTCCACATCTAGATCCACATAAAATCCACAACAAGATCCACATATAAAGATGACAATCAAATAAGGCAATCATAGCTGAAACTAAGACATTTTTTGAGAACGAAACATGTAATTTCAAAATGAATTATTTGAGATTGAGTATGAGCTCTTTATGCTTAGAAATATTTTATAAGTTCAATTCGTAATATTCATGCAGCTTTCATTTAATGAGTTTTCGAATTGATTTAGACAGCTTGAATTGTATACAATGCCAAGTTACCTATGTTTCTTTATATATTCGTGGAATAGAATAACAATAAAAAATATCAGAAAAAGTTGAGACTTTGCTCATCTCAGCATCTCATCATTAGTTGTTACTAAACTTTCTTTGTTTTATAACAAAAAAGTTTATATACTTCACACTTGGAACACTGAAAAAGTTTGTCCAATAAAGCTTTAATTTTTTGTTAAGTTTGTTTCAAAGCAAATTGAAGTCAAGTTTTAAAATAATTGAGTATTAACTCAATTTTTTTTTTGGGGTTTTCTTAAGAAAGTTTCATGGAAGAACTGTTTGAAAGGCATCATAAAATTCTATTGAATATTGAAAATAAAAATGAACAAAGGCAATAATTTATAGATTAACATATTTATTGATTTATATATACAAAGGCTATAGCTAAGCTTAATAGTAATTATGCAATATGTAAGCTAATATTTAACTGGGTTAAGTCTTTTGTGCTCTATTAATAGAATATTGTGAATTTTTTACACTTATTTTCTCTTCAGTACTCGATGGTAACACACTTGGTCTTCAGATACTCGTTGAGCGCCTCCTGGCCGAGATCCTTGCCAAAGCCGCTCTGCTTGAAGCCGCCAAATGGAGCAGCCACATCCGTTTTATTATAGACATTGACGAAGACGGTGCCAGCCTCAATGCGATCGGCAAAGCTAAGTGCCTTGCTAATGTCCTTGGTGAAGACGCCGCTGGCCAAGCCGTATTCAGAGCGATTGGCGCGCGCCATTACCGAGTCGACGTCGCTGCCATTGAACTTGGATATGATCATGATGGGACCGAAGGACTCCTCTTTTGCTATGTACATATCATCCTCGACATCTGTGAAGACGGTGGGTGTAAAGAAATAGCCCTTCATATTGGGCACACGACAGCCGCCATAGACAAGCTTAGCGCCCTCGGCGACACCTTGTTGGCAGTATTCCACCAGCTTATCCATGTGAGCTTTGTGGTTCTGTGGTCCATGTGCTGTGGAACGATTCAGCGGATCTCCAATGGTCATGGAGCGCAGATCCTTCAGCACACGGCGCACGAACTCATCATGAATGCGATCCTCCACGAAGAGACGCCCAGCGGCAATGCAGTTTTCACCTTTGTTAAAGAAGACTGAAGACATGCCCTGCCAAAGAGAAGAAGTCTCAGCTAAGCTATCTCACACATAAGTCAAGCGCCTCTACTTACATGCTTCACAGCCTTGTCCAGGTCGCAGTCAGCGAATATGACCAAAGGACTCTTGCCGCCCAGCTCCAGCGAACATTTCTTCAAATTGGAGTCGGCGCAGGATTTCATAATATGTTTGCCAATGGGCGTGGAGCCCGTGAAGCCCAATTTGCGCACCAAGTGATGGTCGGCAACAGCCTGACCCGCATCGGAGCCTTTGCCAGGTAGAACATTGATGACTCCAGCAGGAAAGCCAGCCAAGACTGTCAGCTCGGCAAACTTCAGAGCTGTCAAGGGGCAAGTTTGCGCCGGCTTAATCAGGCAGGTGTTGCCAGCCGCTATGCACGCAGCCATTTTCCAGGAGAGCATCATCAAGGGGTAATTCCATGGTGTAACCAGGCCACAGACTCCAATCGGTTCCTTGCGCGTAAAAGTCAAAACATTGTTGGGTCTAGCGGGGTTCACGGGTATCGTATTGCCCTGTATCTTATCGCACCAGCCGGCGAAGTAGCGCCAGGCATCGATGGACATGCCGATGTGTGTCTTCAGCGCCAGAGTGTAAACAGCGCCAGAGTCAACCGATTCGATGGTAGCCAAGTCCTCCTTGTGCTGCTCCATCAGGTCCGCCAACTTCAACATGAGTTGGCCGCGCTGCCTGGCTGATACCTGTTTCCACGAGCCAAAGAACGCCTTGTGCGCGGCCTGCACCGCCTTGTCCACGTCGTTGGGGCTGGCACAGGCCACCTTGCAGAGCAGCTGCTCATCGCTTGGATTTATAATATCCAGCACGCGTTGCTCCTCAGCATCCACGAATTCGCCGTTGATGAAGAGCTGTGTGGGCACGCGTATGTCGCGTTTGTTTGCCTTGAGCTGGAAGCCCTGGTACTCCACCTGCTTCCCGCCGGCACCGCCGCTACCTTCGCGCAAGGTGCGAATGAGCAGGTCGAAGAACTCGTCGAAGACCGGCGCCATAAACACGTGCTCGTTCTCCAGCGGCACATCGAATGCATCCTTGACCTCCTCGACCAGACGCACCACATCCATTGAGCCAGCGCCAGCGGCAAAGAAATCTGTGGCTCCTTCAATGGGGGCCTTCAATATGGCCTGCCATATGCTCGATAGCTGCGCCTTCTTGGCCAGCTCATCCTCGCTGAAGTCTGTTATGGGCTGATGCTCAGCCTGCTTGAACCAATCGCTGGCGTTGATCATTTTGGTGCCGCGCTTGATGCGGCGCACATTGACGAAGGCGCCATCGGTGCCCTCGATCAGGAGGCCGCCCTCATGCACCCAGGCGGGCTTCGCCAAGCCAACCAGCTTCAAGGGTTTGCCATTTTTGACGGGTCCAGCGGAATAGAGATGTGCTCCAAAGAAACGCACCTGCTCCTCAGTGCCATCGTCGAGCACCACTGTGGCTATGGCTCCCGGCACTGAGTCCAAGCCGCGCACGAAATTCCAAATGCGCTTAGCTGACTGATCGAGGCACAGCCGTTGATTCTCTGCCTTAAACATGGCTGGATCATAGGTGGCGCCCACCTCGGTTTGCACTATCTTCGGCGCTGTGCCATTGGCTACCATGTCCACAGCCAAGCCCATGGCCTTTACGCCCTCTGGGTAAAGGAATCTCTTATAGATGGTGTCCAAGGTGTCTGTGGGCTCGAGATTCGTTTGGCGCTGCAGCAGCAATGGTCCCGTGTCCAAGCCATCATCAGCCCAGAAAATGCTGAAGCCAGCGACCTCATCGCCCTGTTGAGCATGAGCAGATTAAGACTACGAATTCAGCTACGAAAAGATTGAGCTCACCTCGATGAGTGTCCACGATATGGCACTGGCACCACGATGCCGAGGCAATATGGATGGATGATAGCAAATGCTGCCCAAACTAGCGCCATCAATCACCTCCATTGGTATGAACTGTGAGCAAAAGGGCAGCACATTCAACTCTGCCTTCACGGACTTATACTGTTCCAACACCTCGGGCAGAGCGATGCCCTTGCGTCGCCAGCTGGCAAACTTAAAGACGGGTATATTGTGGTTGGCAGCTGTGGTAGCCAAGACATCCTCTCGGCTGCCCTTGTCCGGTATGGTAAACACGCCCACTACTTGGAACCTCGAACGCTCCAAAATGAGCTCCAACACATCAGCAGCAAAATTGCTTTGACCAATAATCGCGATGCGCAGATTCGACTGTAAACAGTAATGATACCGAAATGGAATACGCATTATAAATGAAACCACAGTCTGTTAAATATAAATATCATATAAAAAACCCAAAGGTACAAAATTGCAAAAATCTTCTAATCTGTAATATGCACATTAATTTATTGTCCACTCATCATTTTCCTGAACTCTGAAATAGCAAAAGAAATCATCTCCGTACATTTGTTCGATTGAACGTAAACTCATAGAGAACTAAAAAAGGCAAATTTTATATTTGCTGTCCAAGTTATATGAGATAGTGAATCGCTTCGAAGAACCTTCAAATATCGTTTGGAAAAACTGTTTGTATGCATCGAACAAGGTCAAGAGATTAGATGGACCTAAGCCAATAAATGCCTGTGTATAGCAATAGAGCTGAATTTGGTTAAGAATATATATAAAATATTACAATGAGTTCTGAAAAGTCAGCAGAAAGAACAGCGAGAAGAGAAAGACGAGGGAGAATAGAGTATAGGTAGGATTGAAGTAAAAGGCAGCTGTTGACACTTTTCATGAAATTGAAATTTTTACGGCTAGCAAAGAGGAAAAGAAAATATGGTTTAAACAACTACCAAGATTATTCAGACTGAGCGAGTACATCTATACTTAAATATAGTATATATAACCAGTATATATAATTTTTAAATATGAGCATAACTTGAATAAAATTCTAAAAAAAAAAAAAAACAAAATAACTTTATAAAAAAATAAATTAAATTCAATTTAATAAGTAAAAAATATTCTAGAAATAATGTATTAAGCAAAAAAAATTGTATGTATATATATATAATATAAATTTATATGTTTAATACATTTTTTCTAGAATATTTTTTACTTATTAAATTGAATTTAATTTATTTATATATATATATAATATATCTTTATATGTATACATATATTTATATATATTTTTTGTTTTCTTTTATGTATTTTGTTTTCTAATATGTAAATATATATTTTTTGTTTAATAAATTGTTTCTAGAATGTTTGTATTTTTTTTATTTATTGAATTGAATTAAATTTATTTATTTTATAGTTTTTAAGTAATTTTGTTTGTTTTTAATTTGTTTATTTAATTTAATTAAATATTTTAGTTACTCAATTTATTTTTATTTATTTATTTAAAATTTATCATTCTTCAGTAATCTCAAACACAGAGGTTAAGCAATTTTAAATCAATTTTTAAGACTAGCAGAAAATAAAAAATATTTGCATAACACTATGAGCAAACTAAAAATATTCATGCCAAAAAGTGTTCCTTCATTAATATAAATGCACTTTTTTAAATAAATTTTAGCTAACAAAAAATTGTTAAACTTTAAAACACAACTAATTGGAAAATATTTAAACGAAAAGATTTGAAAAGTATATAAAATTTGTATACTAACATTCATTTTTGTGCACTTTGTAATTTTGACTATTTAACACACTCTCAAAACAGTTGAATTTGTTAACAATTTCTTTATATTTGCTTATCACTTGCGAACTACTTTTTCCACTTCAAATTTACTTGCTAATCTAATGAGTTTTAGTTTTTATTTTTTAATAATAATTAAGAAGAAGCGGGCTGCAAAGCGTTTGAACAACTTCTCTTAACTGAATCGCATCGAGCGTGCGGCTCGTATTTATACCTAGAGCCGGGGCAAATTATTATCAGCTGTTTCTAGCAATAAAAACAACAACAATAAATATATAAATATATACATCAGCATAGGCATGCACTCGCACTCACATACTTTTACTTTTTCAATATTTGAATAAACAACAAAAAGAAAAAATTAATCGTTGAACAATTCGGTTATCAGTTTCAGAACGTAGGTTTGGTCAAGCGCGTTGATAAGGCCCAAATCGGATGCGAAGGCCGACACTAAGTGGAAAGTTTGGTAACAAACACCTCGAAGCACAGTTTATATTTGCCATGGCTTGTGCTTTGTATTAAATTACATTAACATCGATTTAGGTGTGAGGTTTCTAGGTATAAGTTGAACTCAAGATTGACAAAAAGTGAATCACAAAAATATCAATTTCTGCAAATAATAATAATGTCTGGCTTGAACTAGTTATTGGGCAAGTGGACTGTAAGAGTTATCAGCGCTCACGATCGATTAGTGTGAAATATATTATTTGTAAAGGGGGCGCAACACATAACCAGGCAACGGCTCTAATCGGTGTTAATACAAAGATTTGCTTCTACTTGGACGTATTACTTATATAGCTCAAGCTTTGACAGTCGGAAATAATTGCTAATTATTTGGCATACATTTTGTATTTGATGCTAGAACTAATCTTTATTCAGTAAGACTTGTTAATTCATTTGCAAATTATTCTATTTTATTAAATGTAATTTAGGGCATAATGTTTTTGTGGAAATGTACGTAACAGGCTGAAGATGCAGACTCCATAAACTATATAAACTATGAAGGTCGACTTAGCTATGTTCGTCTGTCCATACGTATGAATGCAGCCATCTCATAAGCCATAAAAGCTAGAAGCTTGAATTTTATTCTCGATAACTTATCGATAATGATCGATCATTTTATATGATTTTTTAAGCGTAACTTAATAGTATAGACGAGCTTTAGTATATATACAAAAAAAAGTTGTCATTTTCTGTTTTGAAAAAAATTTTTTTTTTAATTTTTTAAATATACATATAAAATAAAAGTTATTTCAGCTCAGCTCTTGTGTTAGTGTGCATGTGAATGTGTATGCGTATGCATTGTGTATCATGTATGTGTTTGTATGTAATGATTGAAATATCAGCTGTTTGCAGGGTGCGAGTATATGCTAGTCGGGCACTCTTGGCTCGCGCTCTCATAACTTTTTTTTATTATATAGAAGTATTATTTTTTTCTAAGTTTTTAATTTTTTAAAGTTATAAAATATTATTTATATTATTAAAAAATATTATTTATTTATAACTATATATATTTCTATACCATCATTTTTACATAATTTATTATATTATAAATTTAATATATATTTTTTTTTGGTATATTTTTATAAAAGCATAAAATAATTACTGTCATATTTTTTAATAAGAAAACATTTTTTTTTTTGATTTTAATATTTTTTATTTTTTCAATTATTTTTTGCAATATTTATTATTTATCGATTTTTTATATTCTCAATTATTTTTTGCAATATTTATTATTTATTGATTTGTGAGCATAGTAATGTAATTGTTTTATTTTTATTTTTTATTTCAATTTATATTAGCAACATTTATAATAATTTTTTTGATTACTATTAAGCAATTTATCATTCTTATCATTTGGCTTATCATTTGCTATCATCGCCATCAGCATAATCATTTAATAACATAATTATCTTTCCCATTATTATTGTTATTCACAACAATATTTTTTTCATAGTATAGCTCATTATTTGTTGGTATTAGTTTAATTTTGTTGTATAGTACTTATACTATTTTTCATGCCCTTTGCAGCATAGACTATGCTGTTTCAGGAACTGCGTTTCAAGAGTACTTCAATTGTATTTTCCTACAATACTCAATGTAACTCTATATATATCTGAGCACATAGTTATATATATATATAGTAAATATAGATATATATGTATATGCGCGCTACTCGAATTTAGAATTTAAGAATCTACCGCAAACTATCTTTGTTAATTGATTTGTTTTGTTCACGCATTACGCTTTTTCCATTTCAGCTAATTATTTTGCATTTAATTAGCAAGCATATCAAATGGGATTAATCAACGAAGGTTTCTAGCGAAACTCTCTCTTTCTCTCCCTGACTACTACTTAGTATCCATTGGCACTTTCTCAACGGAACATGTTATTTGCTCTGCAACGTTATATCAAATACTTCGCTGTGTTGGGCCTGGTGCCTTGGGTGAACGAAAAGTCGAGCAAGCAGCATTACCAAAAGATCTATACGCTAATGCTAATACTCTCAAATGTCGGCGTGGCTCTCTATAAGATCATTTTCCGACCGCCCGAGGGAGATTTGTTAGTTTCACTGCTGGTCAGCTGCATCGTATTTGTATGCCAAATTGTTACCATGACAGGCGTGTATCCCAGCTCTCTCCATGCTATATAGTATATATATGAATTATTCCGTTTAGTTATTGAACTGCAAGTGATGTGCCAGTACAATGGATACTACGAGTTCTGTCTGCAGCTGAAGTGTTTGCGCTTGCACTTCCAGTGCGAGTTGCAGCAGCCGATCAGGAACTTACCCTGGAGCAGATATGTCAAATTTTATGCTCTGGGCATTATCAATATCGTTGTCTTTATTCCGTCTATATATGTGGCCGTGAATTCGGACTACATCGGCTACTTTTGGTACTCGCTGGCCGCAGTTATCATCAATCGATATCAATGCCTGCTGCTGCTGCTCTATGTGGATCTCTTGGGCTATCATGCGGAGCGTTTGGATCAACGTCTGCAAGCACTCCACAGCTATCGTCAGCTGGGCACCCAGACCATATTGGACACGAAGTTCGAGCAAATGTGCTCGTTGGACCATCTGTTGAGTCTGAAACGCGCCTACATGGAGCTCTATCGCCTGTTTGAACTTTACAACAGTTTGTTTGGCTGGTCGATTGTCAGCATCTTTGTCGTTATGTTTCTGGACAGCATCATTAATATCTATTGGTCACTCCTTGTGCTGATTAAGATCTACAAGTTTGGCTTCATCTTCATGACCTGTGCCACCTTTGTGCCGTTGCTTATACTACTTTTCACCTTTTGCCATTGCGGCGAGTACTGCAAGCGACAGGTGACTAGTTGGATCTTTTTGGCTATATCTGACTAAATTGCTTTCCTATAGCACATGCTGATAGGCAGCCATGTGAGGGCCCTGGCCTGTGCCGCCCAATGCCAGTCGGTGCCGCCTCCATTGGCCTATAATGCGGTTCTGGCTGAGTTCGCCATGCAGGTGGAACAGGATGCTCTGGCTATCAGCGCTGAGGGCTTTATGGACATCGACTATAATCTGCTAATGTCGGTAGGCTTTTAGTTTCCTTCGTAGCTAATTACGTTTAACTCAATCGAACTATTTCTACAGATCTTCACGGCCATGGTTACCTATCTGATAGTGCTCATGCAATTCGGCTCGTTGTATGCTTAGACCTGTGTCTGGAGATTGGAAATTTTGATTGTGAAAATAATTGTGAAAAATTCAATTTGATCGAATTTATTTATTTTTTATTTTATTAAATTTATGTATCTAAATGTAGGTAGAATCGAATAAATATTTGGGTATGGTCGTTAAGCATTGTGTATGCATTGCTTTACACTTTAAGTGACTTGTATATACCCTGTATATATTAGACACAGACATTGGGCTTAACTCAGACTTATTTATTTATTTTATTTTTATTTTTTTAATTGCTGTTTTTATTTGCAATCTGTCTACATTTTCTCAGCATCATTTATATTTCAGTGTAACTAGCTTATAAAGCTCTTTGAAGTAAATTTCAGCTTGTCCTCTTCCTCTACAATATCATACGAAATCTACTATATTGCATGATATATGTTGCAGGTACTTCGCCAGGCTGTTACAGTTAGCCAACTAAATAAACTTCCCTCTCTGAAGCTGCCTTACACCTGTTAACCAAGCGTTAATCTTCTTCTTTCTATGTGCTCTAACCAACCTCTGTCATTAGTATTCCTGCTTCCAGCTCCATAGACCCTTTGCCAAGCATCTTAGCCTTTGCACATTTGCTTCAATATGATCTTTAATTTGGCTTCATATAATTTCCGACAGCTCAACTTCTTCTTCACAGTACAAGAAATTTAGCTCCAACTAAGGCAGATACTTGAGAAACTGACCAGAGCAGTTGCTGGTGCTAATGAGCTTCAAGCTTGCCAAGACCTGACGAGGATCAGTGTGGATTACTTTCTAGTCAGTCTCTTATAGCAACCAAACTCAAGATTGTCTATGCAGAACAAGGCTGCGCTGTGAGGCTGCTGCCAGGTCTCATAGGTGTCAGCATTCGCAGACAGATCTCCAAATATAAGTAAATATACTGCCAGGGACTTAATGGAACTGAAGCAGTTCAAACTTTGATCTAGAAGCCGTTTCCCTGTGTACTGAGTTCCTAGAATGGTCAGACCTGGGGCAATCAATTCCAAAACAAATTTTCTTCCTTTTTCGTAGTCCAAGTCGATGAGATCTCTACTTCTGAATGGCTATGCAGCAGTTCAACAGCTACTGCCAGCGACAGTATTGCTACTGGCAGACCACAGACGAGCAGCAGCAATTGGCTTTGCCTCAAGTATCCAAGCTCAACTGCGTCATCTATTCAGACACTCCTAACTAAAGTACTCCAATTCCTCGGCAACTTCTCAATGAAATCGAAACTAACAAAATAGTAAGGGAAAGTTTTTAGTTGACCGATAAAATTGTACATTGAACGTCGATCAGCACTCACTGGCCTACTTTGGCCCCCTCACCCAGTCACCCAGTCGGCTGTTCCGGCGCAAACCGCTTGCCGAACGTGATATAGATAAGATTATGAAATGACCAAAATGAAATGATTATAAAATTCGGGAAATAGAACTGGTTGAAACCAGATTCAAGGTATTTTTATACCCAAATCATCACGTATAATCGCTAAAGTGCTTAAATACATGAAATATGTTTTCAAAAAAACGAAATATCTCGCTATAAATATGTATGTGACCCCCCCCTCAAGAGTTCTTAACTGATAGCTGTTGTCAGCTGACGGAATTCGAGTTCTTATAACATATACACAAATGATTTTCAGCCGTATTATGCAATGGCATCCACATAGCCTACAGCCGAGTCCAATAAACTGTGCACGCACTCTCCAGCTGTACGTTGCTGATATTTGGACGTCTATGGGAATAGTGCAACATTCTTATTTTCAATGTATTATTTTCGAAGCGATAAGCGCTGCGACGATAACCTGATCGAGTGCCCTCGGCAAAGTCATCTAAACAAAGCAAAAAAACCGGTTTGGGCTCTGTGCGCAAACCGGTTTCAAGTGGCTCAGGATGTGCCAATTTTGATAATTAATCGATCGAGCGGTAAATAAAAAAAAAACTGAAAGGAAAATATAATCTAGCTCTAATCTTTCGCACTTAATATATATTTATAAATCATGTACGTGGTTTGTACTTTTCATTTGCCTTTCGCCATTAATTGCCCTGTGGTTGAAACCGGTTTTTGGCATCGCAATGTTATCAAAGGGGTCAAAACGCTGCCCACACGTGGCTAGGTAAGCACACATATTATTTAATACAAAATTGGTGATTTATTAATAAAAATAAACTCAAATTTCAATTATTTTTTCAATTCATAGGTGACTTGGGCGCTGACGCTAACCTCCTTGACTACGGCATTGCCATCATCACTCAGTATTTCCAGATTACATTCAATTTCTTCGGTCTTCAGCTCAGGTATTGTGTGGAAGCTGTCGTCATCCGTATTCTCTTCAAAGTAATCTAGTGTTATTACGGGTTTCGATGGACTCCCGGCCAGCTTTTGGTCAGCGAATAATTCTTCCGGCTTCAGATTCGAGTTTTCATTCTCATCTGCTGGCTTAGTATGCTCAGGACTCGGTTCTCCTGTCACTTCTACAGGCTTTTCATTCTCCTCTTCCGGCTCTACCTTCACTTGTTCCTCTTCTGGCTTAGTCTGTTCTTCAGACTTCCGCTTTGGGTTCTCACTCTCCCCTTCTGGCTCTACCTTCACTTCTTCAGACTTCAAATTTTGGCGCTCCTCTTCTGGCTGTTTGTCTTCAGACTTCCGCTTTGGGTTCTCACTTTCCTCTTCTGGCTTAGTCTGCTCAAGACTCTGTTCATCCTCCTTCACTTCTTCACACTCAACATTTGGATTCTCATTCTGGTCTGCTGGTTCAGCATGATCTGCACTCTGCTTATCTCCCTCCACGACTTCGTCATTAGCTACTTCGGACTCCTTCGGAACTTGCATATTTTCGGGTCTTGCGCTCTTTATTTGTGTCTCGCATTCTTCGTAGATAATATTCAATTTCTTAAGACTTGCCTCTAGCTCATCTTCTTCCTCGTCCTCCTCGCTTTCCTCCTCATTGAATTGACTCTTGTCCAACAACTTGAGCTCATCGGCCTCGATGAATTCGCTCAATTTCTCCGATATTTTCGCCCATTGGCGCTTGGCATTGCGCGCCAGTTCGCCAATGGCTCCATTGGAATCCGTTTCATCATCGTCCTCAGGCTTAGTTAGCTCCGAATTCGTTTCCACTTCCCAACTTTCGTCATCGACGTCTGTTGTCTGCGCCGATTCCGAATCTTGTTTTTCGTTTTCGGACGCCGCATTTTCTACTCGATCTATGGAATTTTGACTGGCCCAAGCCCGCAGAGGCAAACTGAATAGTTGTTTGCGCAAGGCATCTTCATTTTCGCGCTCAAGCTTGAGGCCGTCCTTATCAAACTGATTGCTAAACAATTCATTGAGCGCGCCCTCGGGCAGCCTAGGCGGCTCTACAACGGGTATATCCTCGCCAGATTCATAGTCTGTCGATGTATCCGATATAATATCATCATCTATAGTGACATTGGCATTAGGTGCGGGCTTCACTACGGCATTAGCCGTTTCCTCAGGCTTTTCATTGCTCGTTTGCTCTTCAGCTTTTTCGGATATTTGCTCGCTGTTCAAAGGTCTATCCTCTGGCTTCATTTCGCCTTCCTCTGTCGCTGCTTCGACTTGATCTCTTTGTTGTGCCTCCTCATTCGAAATTTGACTCTTTATTTCGCATATTTTGCAACTGCCCAGAGTTAATTTTATGGTTGGCAGCTCCTGGAGATTGTCCGAGTCCCTTGGTTCTTCCTGCTGCACCTCCGCGAGTTGCTGCCTCAACTCCTCCTCTTTGGGTCCTTCCAGGCTGTTTAGCATCACTAACAGATTTGTGGTAGCCCTCGCCTCTTCGAGCTCGCTTTCAAGCTGATCCCTGATTGATTTGCATTTCAATTTATGTGCGCCGAGGTCCTTGGACAGCTCCTCCATCTGACGTTCGCGCTCCTCCTGCAGCTGCTGGCGTCCGATCAGGTCTTTAAGCATTTCATCTTGCTTCACCAGTGCGCCAGGATTTTCGGCCTTCTGCGCGCCATCGTCTGCAGTGAGTTCGTCGTAGCTGCGCATGCCCTCCACAGTTATTTCGCCATCCGTGCCAATCACCTTTTGCAGGTCCAATTTGTCCATGAACTCGGAGTCTAGCGAGTTGAAGGCAGTTCTCGCTTCTAGGGAGTAGAACTTGTCGCTTGACTGATCCGCCGCACTGTCGCCGTCGTTTAGCTCAGTCAGGGATAACGGTTCTTTGCTGATCTCCAGTTCAGCTGGATCGGCTTTGGGCCACATTTCGCGTGAGTTTCTATTCTCCTCGTGCGGTTCTTCGGCCGTATCGTACTCATCAACGGATTGTTCGGACTCATTGCCCGACTCACTCTCAGTATCACTGATCAGAGCAGGCGGTGGCGGCAGATCGAGCAGCTCACCTGTGTCCTTCTTTTTAATCATCAGCTTATTGTCCACTACCTCGAGTGAGTCCTCGAAGTTGTCACGTTTCGAAAAGCAACGCGTTGCCATGGCCGCAACGTGTCGCTTTTTCTTCTCCTGCTCTTTGGCCAGCTGTGCCTCCACGGCTTGTGGACTCTCATCCATGTAGGCGTTAAGCATTTTTGACTTCAGCAGCGTTTTAGCCGCATTCACCTTCTCCGAGCTAGTTGTGGCATTTCTGTCCAACTTTCTTTCGTTCTTGCGTTCGTTGACCGAACTAAGGAAATTGCCAAAGGCATCCAGACACTCACGCAGCGACTTGCCACCGGCTGGATCCTCAAGCTCTGGTGGCACAATCGGCTTGGTCTTGGGCTCAGCTGAATAGCTGTATTCTTCATCGGATTCAATGAGTCCGAAGTCAAAGCATTTTATATTCTGTCCGTTGATTATTTCCTGATATTGCAGCTCATCGATGAGCTCGTGGATAAGCGAGGCGCAGACCTCGTCGAGCGGTGGCTCCGGCACCTTGTCGAGTATTTCGTCCTCTACGTTAGTTATGTCATACAGGACATCTGTCTCATCCTCCAGCTGCTGCAGCAGGTCCCGCAACGAATTCTCATCGGCTTCCAATTGTCGACTCATTTCCTCACAGATTAGTTCAGCTTGTTCTACGGACGTTTTTTCACTCAACGGCTTCACTCTGTACACGTCATCGTCAGCCAGTTCGCTGTCCACGGTACGAGTCTCCTTGATGGTTAACTGACGCATACACTCTTCCTGGCGCCACTCGTAGCTGGGCGTATCGCAGCCCGCGCCGAAGACACGCGTGGGCACATCATCCGTGCAAACATCCAGGGCCTTGGCGAAGGCAGCGTCTATGGCATCTTCCTTGTCTTGCTCCGTTTGTATCTCCTCAGTCAGGACTTTCTTTTGCTGCTCCTCGGTGGCTTTCTTCTTTTCAATGTCCTCAGAAATGCGCTCTCGGCGCACACTGAACTCCTCGATGATGCGCAGGGAATGTGTTACCGTTGTCAATTCAACGCATTTCTTTCGGTCCGCCTCCTTCTCCTCGTCGGAGCTGTTGTTGCCAGTGGTCTTGTTGTTCGGTTGTTCGAGCGTGGCACGTATTTCCTCTAACGGCTGATTCAGCTCCTTTAAGTCGTCGTCCATCTGGCTGCTCAGCTCATTCATATTATACTCGACAATATCATTTGCCTCCGCGCATTCCTCTTCATATTCCAATTGTTCCTTAGTTTTGATTATATCATTTGACGTAGTCTTTGATGTTGACTCACTGCTTGCATTAGGCAGTAGCTGTTCACTGGAGTGTTCCTTCTCTAACATTGCCGTGTTGAACTCGGGTTGTTCTGCAAATATTTCCTCTCCGTAGGATTCATACATTCTGTCTACGGCTTCCTGTTTGAGCTGCTCGGCTGTTGGCGGGCCATTATCATTTAAAGCTATATCTTTTAATTTCTGGCACGATTTGTCCAGATCTGCTCTGGCATCTTGTTGATCCAGCTCAGAGCCGCTTTCTGCTGCAGTTATCAGAGCTGGCATTTGCTCTACTTCCTGCACTGCCTCTTGCTCCACCTTCTGCTCTTCTTTAGGTTCCTCTAGTTTATTCTCTGCCAGCTTGCCAACCTCTTCCTTCTCCTGCTCAGGTTGTACTCTGGCTTTCTTGCATTCCACCGCGAGTGGTTCGAGCTTGACTTCCTCTATGAGCAGACGTTTCACACCTCGTGCATCGTCAGCTTTCACCTCATCAGCATTATTTGTATTATCGCCAGGTGCTTCCTGCTCATTATTTGCATCGTCAGCGAATTGCGTTTCGTATAGCACCTTTGGACGTCCGTCCAAAGGCTTCGCTCGACGATTGCTCAACTGCTCGGCTAAGTCATCATCGTGTGAACCGTTGTCAGCAGCCTCATCCGCTATATCAGAACTGTCCGAGCTTTCGCTAACTTTCGCATTATCGCCAGATACTTCACTCCATATATCATCCACACAACCGTATTCCAGCTCAGCCTTGACACGTGTCTTTTCGGCACCTTTATCGGCATCGCCTTCTGCTTCCGAATCGGTTGAGCTGATCAATGCAGCTTGCTGATCCGGCGGACGATGACGATTGCGCAGCTTGATGGTATCTAGGAAATTGAAACTTCTAGCTTATCTATAGATATTACAAATATCTAAAGTACTTACAGTTCACGCTGTCACGCATTTTCTTACGATCGGCACGATTCCAGCGCATATTCTCCTTACGCTCGCCTTCGTAGCCCTCACGTTTCCTAAATTATAGAAAAAAAGTACATCTGGAATAGAACTGTATGTAGTCAAAGCTTTATATTACCAAGCCTCGGCACAAGCACGATCACGTGGAAATACAGGACGACTGTCCAAGTAGGTGAGCTCTTTCTACAGTTGAGAAAATAAGATAAGATTTTATATATATTTTATAAGGCATGACATACTTTTCAAGGGCTACAGTTTATAGTAAAAAATTATCAGAAATTTTATATATAGTTTAAGGAAATTATTAAAAATTTGTATATGATATTGGTGTAGTAGGGCGGCTATATATGAAAGTATAGCCTTTGCAGGTCTCGTTACTAAAGTTACCATAATTTTAATAACTTAAAAATGTTGTCCTATATTTTAATAATCTATTTCATTTCTGAATCAAAGCTCAGATTTGTCTATAAAAAAATTATTTAAAATGTATACTTACCTTCTATATGCGGAAATTATTATTATTTCTATAAAATATTTACTTATATAAAAAGTACTATTTTTTCAATTTATATTTCAATTTAAAAAAGTTAAGAAATTAATTATTTTTTGCTAAATTTTGCAAAAAGATATTAAATCACATTCCCCTTTTACCTCATTTCATAAAAATATGTATATATAGACACTTCATCTATCGCTATGACAACTTAATCCCACCACAAACCCTTTTAATACTTACGCAGGCTAGAATCAAAGTCTTCCGATATTGGGGTAAGCGTGAGACGACAGGATTTCCTTGTAGCACCAAAACCTTTAAGCAGGGCATCTTCTCGAAGATCTTAACCACCAAAATATCATCAATGCGATTGTTGGACAAGTCCAGCACAGACAAGGTCTTACAGTCCACCAGTCGAGCGAGACTCTCGCTATCCTTCAAATAGTTAGACGATATATTAAGGGTATTCAAGACGGGCAAGATCTCAGAGCCGATGTTCTCAATCAGACGTATATGATTCGAGCTAAGATTCAGCGTGTCCAATTCGGGGCACGAGGCCAAGTTCTCGATGCGCTTGATGAGATTGTTCTGCAAAAAGAGACAGCGTAGCTTGCTCTGTTTCTCCAGACCCTCGATTTCCGAAATGGCATTGCACTCGAGCCACAAACACTTGAGCTCCGTATACTCGTCCAGGCACTCAATATACTGATAGCCTGTAAATGATACGAAACTTAAGGGGAGATCAATTTCAGTCGCATCGGATCTCATTTACCCTGATAGTGCAAATAGAGCACATCGTTCAGACGCGGCGTCTGATATAGCTTATCCTTCTTGCACAGATCTCGCAGTCCCTGCTGGGTCATGCGATGCAGTCCGGTTACCTCCTTGCGAGGCGCCGCAGCGGCTTTAGACATTATTTATAATATATATAGATATATAATTTTTTTTATGTATATATTGTTTATTACTGATATATTTAAAAATGCAACTCGTTTCCAAATGTTTGTTGCAATATGTCTAACAAAATTGTTGGCGTAGTTGACGGCGCTTGTTAGGTTTGTTTATTATTATTGAACAAACATCAAACTGAAGTCGTTAGGGACAACCATATACAGAATTATATAATATATGTATGTAACGTAAGAAATTGATTGGAAACGGATTGCTATGATACAAACCTTATAGAGTATTAATTTGGCAAACGAAACATTAGAGACACTCCCGCATATTAATGCTGCTCTTTAGAGCTGGCTTATGCTCAGTTATATATAGACATTTTTAAACTGAATTGCTTTAAGCTACTGTTATTTCAGCAACTTAATATACCTTATGCTAAGAATTATTAGAAAATATATATAATAATTTTACATATAATTATATTTACATATATTATAATAATTATATTCATGTTCATTAAAAACATAATATTCATATTTATTATTTATTTTATATTTTATATATACCTAATACGATTGCAAATAATATTTAAAGATTATTAAACACTTTTTAACACTTGCCACAAATATTAAAACTAAAAAAAAAATAAATGTAGTTGGCAAAAACTGTATTTGGTTGAAGAAATAAAAAACCATTTTTTAGATCTGCTAAAAATAAAATAAAAAATATTTTAATTTAATATTAAATATTCAAAATATACAATTTATATGAAGCAGCTGAAATCTAAATCGGAGAAGATTGTATTCAAAATACTTAGATAATTATTGAGACTGAATTTAAATACATAAAATAATAAAATAAAATATTCAATTAGCTTTGTTCCAAATTTGTATACGCCTAAGCTTAAATAACAATTTTCAAAGGAAATTTAATCATAGTGTATAAAATAATAATTAAACAATTATTTTGATTTTTAGAGCATTCAACGTACTGCTTGGTAGACGAGTTGTTCATGAGCTTCCCTGGTTTTTTCTGCAACCAATCAATGGGGGTAATCTAGATTGAAGGCCCAAGCTTAGTGCATATACATTTTGTTATTATATTCGCCGAAAGTCAGTTCTAGTTTAAAATAAAATATTTTAAGTAATAAAAAAAGTTCGATATAGTTAGAGATGCTTGATCTTTAATATAAAATATTGTGTAGTATATTTTAAAGAATCTGTATGCTAAGTAATAATAAATTACATATATCATGCATATATACTATATATAAGTAGCAACCGATATTTAATAAAAAACTAGTTTTTAGAATATACTATACTATATCTTTTATTTTTCTATAATAAACCAATAGATTGATCAAATACCAATTGAGAAACAAATTCTTGTCTATTCAACTCATAGTAAAAATATGAATTTATTCTGCTTATGCATTAGCAATAATGCCATTTTATGTTCAACAAATTATTTATATAAAGTTACGTCAAGTTTATTTAAGAAGCTATCGGACAACAAAAATAAAAATATTTGATATATGCTAGAAAGCAAGTCAATGCTATAATAAAAAAAATCAGCATATATCTATCAAAATTCGTTTTTCAATAATTTGAACTGATATAGTCTACAAATTGTCTCTATATAAGTATACATTTTTTATATACTCTATCTACCACTATCATAAACAAGCCATTTCGCCTTAGCTTGACAATTCATCAATTAAAGAAATCATTTTCCACGTATTAATTTCCACATCAAATTTATTATATTCATTCCTTTCGTTTATTGATTCTTAAGTTTTTCAGTGCTGCACAAATATTTCAACTCATATCATATTTAAAATACATACATATTCGAAATGCATATTGAGAATTAAAAAATCGTGCTGATTTAGACAATTGCTTAGATAAAATTTTGTCATTTTATTTTTGCATTTCAGATAATCTAACATTGAATTGTAATATTCACTATTTGTGATCATTTTGAGAGTTGCGTTTAATAAGCACGCTGCTTAATTAATTTAATTTAAATTAGTTCGATTTCCAACTGTAAATTCGCTTTCAGACAGTTTTCTTTACTTTTGCTGTATTTTTTCTTTCTAGGAGTCGCCAAGATATGTAAAATTCTCCCAAATATCGTTTTACTTTATAATACAAATACAAATACAAATACAGTCACATAGATATTCATTGTATATATAAATAATTATATATATGTATATAGGGTATGTTTGTGTATTGCTAAAATTTTTCCGTGTGTGTGTAAAATGCAGTGTTCTGTTCATATGTATATAATAAATTGCATCAAGATATAAGGGTATATAAAAACAATTAGCAAATGGTGGGTTTCTCTTTAGGATGGGGGAGGGGCCACGCCCATACACACACAGACACACGCATATACATTACAAAAATTGAAAATGCATTTAAATGTACATTACATATCAAAATTTTGTTTCAAGGACACTTTTTAAAATCAATTTCGAAACAGTCGGTATATAGTGTAAATAGAGATGATATAGTTATGTGATGCATAATGGGCATGTTGTGGTGGCATAAATGGGAATGTAGTAAGAAGAACTAATCATAAATAGTTTCATGTTTTCAACAAAAATTAAAGAGGGTGTTCAAGTATAAGTAGATATTCTTGAGATATACAAGTTGGTATAGCTTATTTATAGAGCTCAGCGCAACTGAGCTGGGAATAACATTAACAAGTTTTCAAATATATATGTATATATATATGCATAGAAAAAAACTAAATCTTAGAATGCTGGGCTAACAGTGATTGAGAGAAATGCAAATTATGAATTTGTGAATTGAGAATGTGTTGTGATTTGTGTTTTGTGTATTATAATTAATATAATATTCTTTTGAGAGACGGCAACGAGTTATATCGCATGCATATGACGAAACTACAGACTACGTTAAGGGGTTGTCTTTCTTTCTGCTTTTAAAATCGATAGATGGGATCCTCACTACGCAGCCTAAACATGATCGTAGCTGCGGCGAAACGAACGATACAAGCAGCAGGCAAAGAGTATGGTGAGCAGCTAAATAAAAGAGAAGATGCAAAATGATGTATAATTTAACAATATATATATTAAAATATGATTCGCTCACCTGTATGCCTGCCACAGCGAGCACCACACCGGCCAATATCAAAGTCTTTGAATCGAGTATGTGCAAAAGCTTTTGAAGACAGCCCTGCTGTACAGCATGCAAGGTGGTGCACTCCTTGGCCTCGCTTAGATTGATAATCTGGCAGCAGGCAGGAGGCAGGGTCTTATTGGGAAAGATGGTATCCCAGTCGTTGGGTCCATTTGTGCCACAGCAATCCAATTCGGTTTGCAGCAGTGTCCAGGCATCACGATAATCATCACGTTCCTTATAATGCTTCATGGTCGTATTGAATTGTGTTTCCATTAGCTGCGGCAGGCCCGAATGCTTGATATAGCCAGCAATGCCCAGACCAATTTCCAAAAGGAATATAATAACAGCCAATATTGCAAAGCTCAGTATCATGCAGCTGTTCTCCTTCAGGGCGCCACAGCAGCCCAGGAAACAGATAAATGCCACAGCAGCGCCCACAACCATGAGTATAATGGGCGCCGTCCAAATATGGTCACTAACGAAATTCGAATAATGCGCATAGTTCAGCTGCACCATTGCGCCCACCATCAGGATCAGCAGACCCGTGAGCTATAGAAACAAGACCAAATGATTAGTGAAGATTTATTATTTACACTCTTTGCTAACTTACCGCAAACAGCAGATTGCAAAAGAAAGTTATGTATTTCACACATGTCAAGCCGCCGGATGCCATTTTTTTTGTTGGTCAGAACCTTATACACCGGATACCGTCTAGATACTGCAAGGATATGGGCGAAATATTAATCAAAACAGGCAAAAAGGGGAGAAGCAAAATAGAACAAAAATCAATATGTGTATGGTCAACCGCACTAAACGAAGGGGAAAGTTATTGGAGCCAACCCCCAAATCAGTGACAGACACGCAAAGCCCCTACCCCATGACCAACCATAACGATGTTCAAGTGTCTCTATTTACCACCTGCCACCGACCATCTGCCAACTGCCACCAGCTACTCCTGCGCCTAGCGTCGTCTGGCTGCGGATTAACCCTACAACAACCCTCAACGAATGTGGCCAAGTCCGCATAGAAATGAGTTCGCCTGCATTCAGCCACTTTTTCCCTTGGCTGGCCTAGTTCTTGGCGCATTATTATTTGTTATTATATCGAACTGTTGTTGTGCCTCGCTGAGTGCATTATTTTGGTGGCAAGGACGTGGTGGGCTTTTACCATTTCGAGTGCAATGCGCGCTAAATGCAGCTTGCATTAAAATCAATGCAAAATGCGTGCCACATAACTCAAGACAGCGTGGAGATCCATGCAGCTGTGTTGAACTATTCAGGGAATATGGGACGTAGCAAAAGTAATTTCCGAGAAAATTATTTTTAATCTATTTTAAATGGGTTAATGTGTTATTGCTGACATGTATGTGTAACAGAAAAATAAAGGCGTGGATAAGTTCATAAGATATTAATATTATACTGCGTCGGTCTGACCATTTCCTAACAGGAACTAAAAATTTGAAATTTTCAATATTCCAAGCATTCGCAATATTTCTCATATTTACTTAATATCAAATTGGAAATTTAAAAACTTTCAATTAATAATTTTTCCCATATTATCTTTCTGATTGATATCAGATATAAAAACAATATTTCGAATAGATCTGTTGCGAACTCTAGGGAAAAATTTGAACTGTTGCTTCCTGTCTACAATCTATAACCTTTTTTAACTTTTAAGCATTAAACGTTTTTGGATAACTCGAAAAATATAAGTATTAAAAATACAAAAATATGTACACATTATATAGTAAATTTACTTATTATATAAGAATGTTTTTTATTTATTTAGATTATTTTCTCCTTTTATAATAATGAGAAAAAATACGAGATAAATATGAATAATAATTTTTACAATTTGATACATAGAACGATTTTTTAAAAATT